TAATTGTTTTTGGTCCTAAATAGCAATAAATTAATGTCAAAGTTTAAAAAAGTGTCGACGTGCGCAGTTTCTGCGCAATGTTTTTGTATTTTTACGAAAAGTTTTTTGTTCGGCACGAAAACTTTACCCAGGATCGGATTCTGTAAACATTTCTGAAGAAGAAACGGCCCGGTAAAAGTGTCGGAACGATATACATTTCGAGTAGATCGAGAAAATGTTCGACGACAACATGTACACGACGTTTTGCCGCCATGAGCTTCGCTGCTCGCTTCTCTCTGTCCGACAGGGCCGAGGCTATGGGTAATCAACACCGATGGAGGGATCCAATGGGGCACCCACTTAGCGTGTGAGGCGTGCCATTTTTTTTAGTACTTAAATGTTCTGTTTTTTTTTTTACATATTTCTGTGGATAATAATCACCAAACTGTGATATATTTCACAAAAAAAATCAGAACCAGAGTATTTGGAGTTGGTAACGAAAGTATTCTAACACTAGTATAATTTTGACTTCTAGATCATATAATTAAATAAATATTTAAATATATTGTTACGAATTGCGACACTTCTGCCGCGTCGCGGCATTTTATTTACAATAGAGAACACACACAAACTATAATACAACTGAATTAAACTATGTTAGAGATCTTTGATTAAGATGGTGTTGATCGCTCGACGGTCCGATCCCGACTCTTCGATTGTCCGTTGATAAAACACCTCCGTGGCAACCCCTCTCTTCTATTTTTCTTTAAGGAGTTGCTCACAACAGGGCAGTTTCACATTACAGCGACTTGATTTGGACAAGTCGCCGTAACATTGCCCTCCTCGCCGAATGAGCGGCCGTCCCGGCCGCGGCAAATTTCACTTGTGTTGACCAACGACAATCGAACCGTTAATCCTGCCAGCTTCAGTCCTATAACCTCGAACTATCGTTCCAACGGACAACTGACAGGTAACCTCCACCGCAAGTACTTCTGTCTGAAAAGTAGGTAAACAAGGAAAGAATGTAATTAGTTACCCAGGTGGCCTTTTCCAGACAGTTTACGTCCTGACATTTGTCCTCCGTCTCAAGGGAAAACCACCAAAAAAACCTTGAGCAGAACGTCAGTACTTCTACGACGCGTACAGCTCTAATCTCTGTCGCTCACCCTTCCTCTTAATTTTTCGTTTTGAGGCTTGAGCGTTTCTTTCTTGAAGAAGTTTTGAGAACTTCTCACTTGTAGACTTCCCGGGAGTTCCCTGCTCTGATCAATCACCAAAACTCTTCCCCGGATGCACCTCCAATCACCACAGGATACTACCTGCAGTAATATGGGATCCGGTGCATCTCTTTTTGTGGACCAGTCAGGAAAGGGTGTACCCTCCTGAGAACACGTCCTCACTCCCCAATGGGAGGACGTAATCTTCCAGAGGATACAACTTCCTTCCCCCATCGAACCGTTTCTTCCACAAATGGAAAGAGCTCAGCGTGTCAGTACACAGATCACTCCCTCGTCTTCTGCGAAGAAACGTCCTCTTCTTGGGTGAGAGACAGTCAAAGGCTTCTGTGTACAGCGTCGTAGCGAGCCAAGCGGTTAACGTGTACGATCTTCGGTTTCGATTTCGGAGAACGAGTTACACGATAAATAATGTCGTTCAGGCGGTCCTGTACCACATAAGGACCTTCCCACGCGGACTGCAACTTGGGACATTTTCCTTTCGTCCTTCGTGGTTGGAACAGCCATACTTTCTCGCCTGTAGCAAACGTAATTGAATTAGCGTAAACATCATACCAAGATTTCATTTTGTCTCCGCTAATTCTCAGTCTCTGGCGAATAAATTCATGAATTTTAGCCAGTCTGATACGCGTTTGCTGAACAAACTCGTCCTCCTCATATCTTGATTCAGGCGGGAGTCCTCTCTGAAGATCCATTGGAAGTCGAAGCTCTCTACCAGTGAGAATCATCGATGGAGTGTTCTTCATTGTCTCGTGTCTGCTTGAGCGATAGGATAGTAAAAATAACGGTATCCAATCGTCCCAATCCCGTTGATGATCCGCTACAAACATTGACAAATACTGCAGCAGAGTCCGAATCAACCTCTCCACGAGCCCATCAGATTGTGGATGCAAAGGAGTAGTGCGAGTCTTCTTAATACCAAGCAGCACCATCAACCGCTTGAAGACCGCCGACTCAAAATTTCTCCCCTGATCCGAATGAAGTTCCAACGGTACGCCATGACGACTTACAACTTCTGTAAGAAGGGCCTTCGCAACAGTCGTCGCGCGCTGGTCCGGCAACGGAATTACCTCCGGCCATTTCGTAAAATAATCCACAACGACCAGCGCATACTTGTTACCAGCCGCAGACTTCGGAAACGGTCCCACAATGTCGAGCGCTACCCTTTCAAACGGTGCCCCGACATTATAAATCTTGAGAGGTCCATGTCCCCTCTCCCTCGGACCTTTCCTTGCGACACAAGTATTACATCGACGACACCAGTCTTCCACATCCTTGCGATTATCAGGCCAGTAAAATTTTCGACGTACCCTGTCCAGAGTTTTGTTCACTCCGAAATGGCCACCCGCCGGTGTATCATGACAATCTGTCATCACCGAGCTTACCATTTCTCTTGGAACCATCAGTAACCACTTGTTACTTTTTCCATCAGGGGATTCCCACTTACGAAACAGTAGATCCTCGTACACTTCCAAGGAATCCCAGATTGATACGAGATATTTAATTCTCGTATTCCTGTCCGAAATCTCCTGCCAATCGGGCCTGCTACCCTCTTTTTTTCTTGACAGGATGAAACCAATTTCTTCATCCTCCTCCTGTTTTCTCCTCCACTCTTCAAAATCAAATGTTTCGCAGAGTGTCCGCAGAACTACGTCTCCATTTTCTTCCGTCTTCTCCTCCAGGCGCTTGCATCGCGCACAATCCTGCGATTCGCAAGGCCTGCGAGAAAGACCGTCCGCGTTCTGATGGAGTCTTCCTTCCCGGTGTTTCACCTCAAAGTCATATCCCTGAATCCGCTCGATCCAACGTGCTACCTGTCCTTCCGGATTCTTGAAAGACAGCAACCAACGTAAAGCAGCGTGATCGGTCCTCAGAAGGAATCTACGCCCATAAAGGTAATGATGAAAATGTTCAATAGATTTCACTATCGCTAACAGTTCCTTCCGAGTAACGCAATAATTCTTCTCAGCTTTTCCTAGCGTCTTGGAGAAGTAGGCGATTACTCTCTCCCGACCTTGCTGAATTTGAGAAAGAACTGCTCCAATTGCAAAATTTGAAGCATCCGTGTCCAAAATGAATTCTGTATTAACCGACGGATAAGAAAGAATGGGAGACTCCATCAATTTCCTTTTTAAATCCTCGAACGAATGTTGCGCTTCTTCCGTCCACACGAAGATTTTCTCGTTCTCGGTCAAACGATGTAAGGGCTTCGCAATATCGGCGAAATTTTTAACAAACTTCCGATAATAAGTGCAAAGACCCAGGAAACTCTTCAACTCGGTCTTATTCTTCGGCACCGGCCAATTCTTTACTGCATCCAATTTTTCAGGATCAGTTTGTACACCCATCTCGGATACTACGTGTCCAAGATATTTCACTTCTTTGCAGAAGAAATTACACTTCTTCGGGCTCATCAGCAAGCAAGCTTTCCTTAGGCAAGCAAGTACCTTCCGCAGACGTTGTACTTCCTCTTCAAAACTTCTACCGAAAATTATGATGTCATCGAGGTATACCAAACAAATCTTCCAGTTTAACCCTCTTAAGATGTTGTCCATTAGACGTTCAAAGGTAGCTGGTGCGTTACAAAGACCAAATGGCATGACTTTGAACTGCCATAATCCAGTACCCACACAAAAGGCAGTCTTTTCCTTATGTACAGGATCCATGGATATCTGCCAATATCCACTTTGTAAGTCGATAGTCGAGAACCAACAGGAGCCATCCAAAGCGTCCAGCGTATCTTCTATCCTTGGAAGGGGGTACGAATCTTTCTTGGTGATATTGTTCAGACGCCTGTAATCCACGCAAAATCTGATGGACCCGTCCTTCTTCTTGACCAATACCACGGGTGAAGACCAGGGGCTTTGAGACTTTTCTATGACTCCTTGTCGTTCCATTTTCGACAATAATTCATCTACTTCTGAACGTCGATGAAGAGGTAATCGTCGGGGTGCCTGTTTTATGGGAAGACTGTCACCGGTATCTATCTTGTGACATACTACGTCACATTTTCCCACCTCTTCGGAATCTTTCGCAAAAACATCTGCAAATTCCGTCAATAACTCGGCAAAAGTTTTCTTTTGCTCTGCGGACAGGTTTATAGAACATCTCTGATGAAGATCCTGAAGATGATCCGGTACTAATGTATTCCTGTTTTTCTTTATCTCCTTCGTAGCCGAATCTTCTCCATACTTCAGCAACGGCACTTGCATTCCTTTCAAATGAAGAACCTCGTTTGTAAAGTCCAGTTGACAGGCATGCTTTTTAAGAAATTCGATTCCCAAAATGCATTCTTCCATCATACTGACGAAGAAGAACTCTTCTTCGGTCTCGACTTCTCCAATAGAAACAGGTAGATGCTTTTTACCAAAAATCGGTAATCTCTGACCGGAGACTGAAAAAATCTTCACTCCTGTCATGCTCGCCGAACTATTCTGCCTTGTAGCATAAGTTTCCCGTAGAAGGTTAACCGATGAGCCCGTGTCCAAGATGATTTTCCTTTTCTTCGCTCCAACGATGCCTTCGACGAAGAAAATCCCTCGCTGAATAGGTTCCAAACGCAGCACGACAGGGGGAAAAACGGAAGATGAAGTCGGACTATCCCCCATTATACCGACTTCTTGAAGTTTCCCTGCGAAGTCTCCTTCCTTATTTTCTTTAAACAATCCCGCTGGAGGTGGCCCTTTTTTCCACAGCTCCAGCAATGCGGCAACTCCCGTTGATGTCCAACCACTCGTTCAGAATGCCGTTCAGCCGCACGTTCCAGCATTCCCTCGGAAGTAAAGGGACGTTTCAAATTCCGTTCAATCGTTTGTGTTTTTTGAGAGCTTAATTTATTGAGAGCTTCCATCTCTAGAGCTCTGGTCACCGTAGCTCTAAGAGATGTAAGACTTTCATATCTCAACATTCTCTTCATCTCTTCATTGGCCAACGCCGTCACAAACTGAGAGGCGGCCAAACGATCCCGAACATCCATTGGACATTCAGAGAAAGCGCATTGCGCCAGCCTCTCAATCTCCGTGGCCAATGCAGAAATTGACTCCCCTTGCCGCTGTTTATAATTTTGAAAAAGAACGTAATTTAGCTTCGAAAAGTTTTTTTGACCAAACCGAAACTCGATTGCCGAAACTATTTCTTTGAAGTCGAAATACTTATCGGCGGGAAGAGAAGTCAGTACTCCTCGAGCCGGACCATCCAACGAAGCAATTAAAGCCGCAGCTTTCTTTGCTTCGTCCCAGCCATTTACATTCGCGACCATTTCAAATTGAATTCGGTACTCATCCCATGACGTGGAACCGTCATAACGTGTCGGCTTCACGGAATATCCTAATCCAGTTACGAAGCGTGTAGATTCACGACACGCAGGCAAGGATGGCACCGACTGTGAAGCAAATACAGGAACACTCGGAACAATAGGTACACTCGCGTTATATACACTATTAACATTATTTACAGCAGTGCCCGCACTATTTACACGCGCCTCCGAGTGTTCCACAGACGAGAATGCCGCAGAATTTAAGAGAGAATATCGCAATGAATCCGATAGCACCTGGCATTGGTTCTCGATCCTTGCTATCCTCTCTTCCATGCGAGCCTCTCGTTCGGACGCAGCAGCCTGTTCCCGTTCCTCGCGCTGAAGCCTGTCCGCTTCCAGTCGCGCCTCGAACTGCCTCTGCTGCTCCTTCAGTTGCTCGCATAATTCTTGTCGGAGGTTTGAAAACAGGATCTCCAATGCCGGCGTGACATTTTCGATCGATTCTTCGATCCCGGACGAGCCCCCAATGTTACGAATTGCGACACTTCTCCCGCGTCGCGGCATTTTATTTACAATAGAGAACACACACAAACTATAATACAACTGAATTAAACTATGTTAGAGATCTTTGATTAAGATGGTGTTGATCGCTCGACGGTCCGATCCCGACTCTTCGATTGTCCGTTGATAAAACACCTCCGTGGCAACCCCTCTCTTCTATTTTTCTTTAAGGAGTTGCTCACAACAGGGCAGTTTCACATTACAGCGACTTGATTTGGACAAGTCGCCGTAACAATATATTTAACAATATATTTCAAGAAGTTTAACGTTTTGAAAATGATTATTTATTCATGATCGAATTATCGTTATAATTTAAATGATAACTGTATGCATGATATACTTGTAATTCGAACAAATTCAGAATAAAATGAATATTTTTTGTTCATTATTTTTCTTTTATCATTTCTCCATTTTTAATTTATGATTCACAGTTTAGTGATTATTATCCATAAAAATATGTAAAAGAAGACAGCACATTGAAGTACTAAAAAAAATGGCACGCCTCACACGCTAAGTGGGTGCCCCATTGGATCCCTCCATCGGTGTTGATTACCCATAGCCTCGGCCCTGTCGGACAGAGAGAAGCGAGCAGCGAAGCTCATGGCGGCAAAGCGTCGTGTACATGTCGTCGTCGAACATTTTCTCGATCTACTCGAAATGTATATCGTTCCGACACTTTTAACGGGCCGTTTCTTCTTCAGAAATGTTTACAGAATCCGATCCTGGGTAAAGTTTTCGTGCCGAACAAAAAACTTTTCGTAAAAATACAAAAACATTGCGCAGAAACTGCGCACGTCGACACTTTTTTAAATTTTGACATTAATTTATTGCTATTTAGGACCAAAAACAATTAATAAATTGCATTCCACTATATTCGGAAAACTTTCCTCTATCTTTTGAGATTGATTAGAACTTTCTAGCGTGTTTGTACTTTTCATGCAATACCTCATTTTTGTCGAAAATTTTGGGTTTTTACAAAAGTTCGTTTATTTAAAAAACTGAGGATGATGGAGCAATTTGGTTTTCGGATTCTTGTTCAGGGAGTGAAGCTGTACAAGAATTTCATAGTGGCTGTAGGAACCCAGAAAAAAAGTTTGATTTTGTCGGACAGTGTAATAAATACGCCGCGGTTCGGGCGGCCTTTCAACAGGGAATGCGTTACCTTAAGACTGTAAGAAAGTTACTTTTGTATCGTTAGCATACCTGCAATATCAGTATTTTATTTTGTTATTAACGAATAACTATTCTTGTTTGTTAATTTTGGAACTAGCGCGTGTTGAAATTCATTTGATTCGCCTACTCCCCCGCCGAGCACGAACCATGGTGTTACAAAACTATCAACAAGATAATATTATGTCAACAAAAGAATATTTACTTTCCAGGAAAAATACAATCGTGAATAATGAGGACGTCACAAGAGATATTTATTTCTCACAAGATAAGATGTGAGTGTATTTAATATTAGTAAGAAGTGTATTTAGAAGCAAATCCAAAAATTTATACATATATTTATTGTCAGAAGAAATAAATTATTCTATACCATGTAACTACACGCTACAAAAGAAAAGGGGCACAACATCGATAACTTTGAGTATAACCAGACTTACAGGAATAACCAGGAATAACCAGACTTACAAACCAAAAATACGAATAGATCTACTTCCAGAAATAAAAGAATATGTGACAACATATTAATGAAATAACAATTGTGCCAAAATTATTTTCTTTGTACATTTTATTTCACAATATTTTCTAAATATTTTAAAAACACTTCTAAAAAGATTCTACGAAAATATCACTGATTGTTATATAAGGATTTAAATAAAAGTGATTCAAAACTTTAAAGATTTATAGTACTCAGCGAGGAGATTATAAAATGTCCAACTAATGTGTGTCCAAAAGCAAATTCATTCGACAGAGAATCAACTTTCAGTATCTAAGGATATTCAATGTGAAGTGATAATGTTACTAGATGCAAATTGAATACAAACCTTCTTCTTCACAGTAAGTTTTGGAATAATAAGTTTAGTATACACCAATTACAATAAATTAAGAATAGACCATTTTGTTTCTAAGTGTCCCTTTAAAAAGGGACACTGTTTACCAACCTACTACATACTACGAAACTTATTATGACAAAGTAGATTTGTATTAAACTTGCATTTATGAAAAAATCCTTGTTGATGCCAATCTAATAATCTAGTGTTGACAACCTCGATGTTGACAACCTCGATGTTGACAACCTTGAAGTATGTACCGTGCTTTGCCCGATAAAAAATCCGCCGTTATGGTATGATGGGAAGAGAGGTATTCCACTCGTTCTGTCTGACACATACGCCCGTAGTTCCCACTGTTCTATGATATTACCTAAACAACTTGTATTACGTGTCACATTTAGGCGAACATGGGGAAGCGATACGCTGCAACGATGATCAGTTTGTATCACTTAAAGATAATAAGGAGGGTTAATTTCTGCCAATAAGGAACACACATTACCCTACTTCTGTGGTATCTTCAATGGCGTTGGAATGGTTGTGTTGATGAGAGCAAGACACAATACGTTATAAGGACCGGATTATGATCCCGGTCCTGATCTATCCGATCGGTCGATTCGTTTTATGCTACTAGTGCGACAGGTATTTTGGGTCTAGAAAAACCTGGCAGGGACCAATCGTCGGAGACAGAACTACCACGGAAAGTACCTTCACCATTATTACGCCTGTCTCTTATAGAATATCTTGTAATAATTATAGCATATTTTTCTATGTGCCCTTTTTTTATACGAGTACCTTTTACGCGGATCTTTTTAGCACGCGGTTGTTTTATTTAATATTATGTGAGCTTCAGAGAATACATATATATATATATATTGATCGTTGAAAGAGATTGTGATTCTAGTAGAAAACAAACGACCTATCACATATAATACAGCGGCAACGAATAAACATTGATTTATTATGAAAATAGTTTTATTACACAGTACCGGACAAATGTGTTTGAACACCTTTTAAACCGTAATAACTTTTTTCCAAACTGGACTAAATGATTTAAATTTCTTTTTACATGATAGGAGAAATAGTTTACCAGATAGTGACAAAAATATTTTCTTTAGATGTTAGCACTTCTAGGAGTGATAGATCAGTAGATTTCAGTAACTTATACGTATACTGATAGGTTTATGGAAATCCCTTAACGCGCAGTCAAACTACAGGCGCTGAAAGATTTACGAAGCTGCAGATTTCTGACAGATCCGTTTCTAGCGGCAGATGAAGAAATACTGTGGAGAGAGTGTGAAGGCATTTTAGGAGATAATAATAAGATACAGAATAGAGAAGAAAAAACAAAGTAGGCAAGCAGAAAGGAAATACAGAGAGGCACGATTAGACAAGAAAAGGATGTGTGGTGGAGACGAGAAAAAATATAAGAAATGTTTGAGAGAAGTGAATGAGAAAGTGAAGTTAAGAACATGGAGAGAAGCAGACGAGAAAAGAAACACACAAATAGGGAGTACGAAGAAGGATAAGAACAAAACAAAAAAATGGCGTACGGAATGCAGGAGGAAATATACACGAAAGAAAAGAAAAAGAGAAAGTAGTAGAGATATGAAAATATAAAGGTAACAGATATGAAAATATTAAGATAAGAGAAATAAACAAGAGATGAGGGAAAGAAGGAGTTGAAATAAGAAAAGGGGAAAGGAATGAGGAGAGAAAGGAATAAAAAATAAAATAAAAAGGCACCTACCTTCTGCCTCGATCTCTGTTCTAGTGAGTTTTATGTTTCTCTATTTGTGAAAAAAAAGATTGAAATACATAAGACAAGCTCCTATTTTAAATGTTGTCTCGTGCCAAACCACAGAAAAACTTAGCGAAAGTTTTCAATTTTTCATTCGAAGAATAGCAGATGTTGGTGACAGCGGTAGCTTGAGTTTCCCGTTTGACTTGCCATTGGGTCATACTATCATATTTCCTTTTGAAAAATTGTCCTACGTCTGACTTATTATCGTCTTGTAGTACTTGTAAAATTTCGACAATTTTTCTACGCTCAAAAGCATTTGACGAATTAATTATGAACAAGTCCACAGGATTAGACAATAAATTGTGATTAAATTGTAATTGAGTTCTAGCAACTACACGTTAAAAACTATGAAAACGTTTGTGCTCATTTTGAGGAGTCATATTACCACTTCCACACAAAATATTTGAAATTCCTTCAATCCTTTGATGCTCTACGAAACCAAACGCTGTTGTATTTTTAACTGATTCGCATTATGTAAACCAAACGTGATTGGTAATCACTTTGAAACAGATGAGCACATTTAAAACGACAATATTTGAAATATTATTCTGATATTGTTCTGAGAGTTCCATCGGATAGTAATCGCTGAAAGTATTCCAACTATCATCAGGAAGTCAAATTCTCAGATGAAGATGCAATGTGAAAGTACTCTCGAGAGCACTCTGAAGTGGACACGTACAATAACGAACTCGATCATTTAGATCGATTCGGCCAATTTATAATTTCTGAATTGAAAATGATAAAGCCAGATTCATTACAAGTGAGAACGATGAGCGACATTATAAAAATAATAACGTCTTACGCGGATGAGTATATCCTGTCCTTTGCCCGGAAGAAGTTCGGCATTTCGGCAGAGAGGTAAGGGAGTATAGATTCCGCGATAGATTCAATTCGGGTCTTACAATCCCGGATGAGTGCATAAACCCGCGCGCTAATTTCGGTGCATCGCAACGTCAATTCAAGGGTTAAGTCAACGTTCTTGCATCTTGAATTTGTTGCGTTTGTTTTACTTTTTCTCGATTGTTCTACGTCTCTTAACTCCCGTCGCGCATCTCACTCACCCGTGGTCGCGTAAATGATACACACATGCATCCATATAAAGCACAAGTATATGCGTCTGATCCTAGCCGAAAATGACGACCACGGGGGACCGAAACGCTAACAGGAGGCGTTGTTCGTTTTTAATCGGGCAGACTCGAGTCTCTCATTTCGTGGAAAT